ATCAGGGGACCATGAACACTGAAATGTCACATTTTGTTGAGTCTTAAATGTACTTCACATATGCATATTTTTATTGAGATGTTTAAAATGTTTTCATAATTAATGTGCACTCATCTCTATATTACTGTGATTGTACTGAGTTTTTACAAAGTTTCAATAACTATATTTAGTTAATACATGCCTTGCACCAAACATCAAACTACAGCTAATGTTTTCATACCTGCAGCTACTGAAAGATGACAGCTTGGGGGTCGAATTTCCCTTTAATGGTAGGTGAAACACTGCAGAATGTAACAGAACAAGTGTTTTTATCTTTTACTTTATTTTGTTGCAGTGAATCACAAATGTAAAAAATATTGGCGGCCAGATGGAAATCAACCATGGGCCAGATGTGGCCCATGGGCCGCCAGTTTAATAGCCCCGTTTTAGAGAGAGTCAAGTCACTTGATAGGAAAGAGAACTTCCTTATTACCTCCGCCAAGGGAGGAGGTAATGTTTTCGGTCGTGTCTGTCTGTGGACAAAATTACTCAAAAACTTATGGATGGATTTTCATGAAATTTTCACCACAAGTATGCACTTGTGGTGAAAATTGGCCAAAGGAGCACACCATTAAATTTTGATGATGATCCGGATCACAATCTGGACCCAGGAAAAGCCAATCAGCTTTAAGGAAGCTGACCGTAGACTTCCAATCCTACACATTCTCACTCCCAAGTCGTCACATACTGACGCTTTCTCCAAGGTTCCCTCTACGTCCGATTTTGACACGCCGGGTACCCCCCTCGCGTCACTCCTTGACGCCCGCGGCTTTTCCGGGTTGCGCCACTAGGGGTCTTTGGGTCGGGGGTCTGAGGTTAACATGAGGGATCACGATTAATGGTTAAGTTTAGGTACTGGGATCAGGGGTAGGATGTCCATGGTGAATATTAGGTAATTTCAGGCTTTGGAACATGTTTACGTGAATTTCCTACATTTTCTAAAAATGGTTAATTTTAGGTACTAGGGTCAGGGACAGGATGTCTAAAGTGAACAAAGGTAATTTCAGGCTTCGAAACCCTAGTTTTTGCGCATTTTCTACACTTTCGGAAAATATGACAACAGACTTCCCCATCTCGTCAGTAACTGACGTGACGGGGGTACCCGGCGCGTCAAAATTGGACGTAGAGGGAACCTTTGCAAAAGCGTCAATATGTGACGACTTGGGAGTGAGAATGGGTTGTCCAATCACATAGGATCATTCGTAGACGGGTCAACCCCCTGACTGTAGACACCCAATGGGATTGCCTGAAGCGGTGTAGAAGCCCAATCACAAAGGCGCATAGAAATAAAACTTTAGACTGAATTGTTTTTAAATCGAAAAACTTATTGTTTGAAGTTACTTCAATGTAACAACAGATCATTTTCATAATACATCGGCCTGCGCGTCCTAACAATTTGTTATTTTGTGTTTACGTTTTTGGAGTTTTTTCCCCCCCCACCTGTATCGGAAAGGTAAGCTAGCTAACTCACCACCCCGCGTTCAGGTCTGTGATCCAATAGAAAACGCTAAGTTTTTCTTAAACAATTATGTTTATTCAGATTTTTTATGGCTAAATGCTTTCTTTTTTCTGATACTGTTCCACTCCTTCTGTTGCATGTAATTTATTACATTTAGTCATTGTAAAGCACTTGTACACAAACACACATGACTAAAAATGTAATAAATCACATACAAAACAAACACATACACTAACACACAAACATACGGCCTTGGCGGAGGTTTGCTCTCTGAGTGCTTCTAGTTTACAAAGTTCTTACTTCCGTGACTTGACTCTGACACAAAACTTATTTTGACATGTAGGTTGTGGCCATTTTACTCCTTTTAGATGGCCCAGGGCCAAAAAGGTTGTGGTTGTGTATTTTCTTGCATGTGGAAGTAAACATTCAAGTTGTATAAGTCGGGTCTGTACTTCGAACAGGTTTCTTTCAGAACATGAGTAAAAGGTAATTAGAAATCTAATACTATGGCTGGAAATGAGGCACTATTTTAAAGGACCATACCTTAAAAATTTTGCTAAGTCAGTGCTGAACTTAGAAACAAAACAACATTGAAGTTGAGATTAGCATCAGTCTTAAGCAGGGATTTTATTTTTTATAAAAAAAAGGTAAATTTATCATTTCTGGAATCAACAAAATAAATTACATAAAACAGAGAACATGCTGATTGGTCTTACTGTCCAATACCTTTTTCAAAATATTGGATTTTCCTTTGCTTTAGAGGAAAGATGAGTGAAAAACACATTATGAATCTGTTCTATGAGAAAGGCTGCCATCTGCTGAGTTCAGTTTTCAAGCTGGATGCAGTAACAAAAAGAGAGACACCCCCTCAGCCAACTTATTCCTTTTATGCTCAACAGTATAGAGGCTCCCGCTGAGACGGGTAACAAGGTAAATACATTCCTTTAAAACACAAGCTCACATTTCATCAGAGCTAAAATTTTTATACACATTTTCACTAACGAAAAACAGCACCTTCTTTTGCTGTGCTGTGAAAGTTGGAAGTGTTTCGCAGTAATGTTAACAATCTCTCCTCTCCGGAAGGGAGACAAGCTAAACCAGTGGTGTACTGTACATGAGGAGGAGGACTGGTTGCTAGGTTGCATATTCTTTCAGTTTCAAAACCTCTTTGACACGCACATCGCTGTGTGCTTTCACAGACACGCACCCACTCACATGGCTCAGGTTAGGCAGCGGCGCACACAAGAGGATCACTGTGAACACCGATACCAGCATGTAACTGTGATTTTCCTCAAATCAGGGCAACAACAGGCACGCTATCACCCAGCTAAATATCAAGGCAGCTCCTCCAACGGACAGTTAGACAGGAGCCGTCTAAGCACACTAACAAGGTGAGCAGACACTGCGAGCTGTTGTGGCGGGTGTCTGTGCTTCTTCAGGAGGAACCGACAACAACTAGACTGGCACTGCTAATAAGGTGTCAGCTCAACTCTGCCCCTTGCCGAGAGAACGACCGCGCAGCTCACACTGGGCAAAGACCTGGATCCTGATATTAAAACCCACAACAAGCGAGGTTTTCACGCAAAAAGCAGCGCTACAACACACAACAGTATCCAATTCCTGCCAGAGACACTCTCGTGTTATTTGCCCCAAATTGGGATAGATGGCAGCAGAAAATCTCTTGCTCTTCGCGGCCCATGGAAACCAAACGGCTGCTCATGTTTCCACTTTTTAGAACAGTTAAATCAAATCCCAGATGCTGGGGCTGCCATTTAAAGAACAGGTTTGGACTTTTAAGTCTGTTTTCCCACATAAAAAAGAAAATAAATGCTAAATACATACAAAGGAGTGACCAGCAGCATTGGCTTTTAAAGAACTTTTAAAACAGCTTGCCCAGATTTTGACAAATGAAAATAAACAATTTAAAAAAAGCCAAACATGAACAAGGACTTGAACGTTTTTCCTTTTTTTTAAAGGGGAGGCAGGTATTATGTATTGACTTTGCATCACAGTCTATCTAAATTCCTATCATTTCAGACACTCCCACTTCATCACATTTTCAAACAATGCTTCAGGGAACGGGGTACTCTGTGTGGTGGGAGCTCGGCTGCAGACTGAGCTCCAGGGAGGAGCTTTGTGTAAAAAGGTGGAGCTTTGTACCAGTAAGCGTTTAGGCAGCTTCACATGACTACCGCAGGAGGTTCAAGGATTTCTCAAACATGCAAGAATGAGTCAAAGCAACACTCTGGGTGTGTTCTTGATGAGGGAATGACATCATAACATGAAAAAAGTAAATTTTGCATAAGCCCCCTTTAACTACTGGAATGACAAATTTGGCCAGGATTTATTGATCTGGTGAAAGCACAAAGAGAATATTATCCTAAAAAATATCTAATTTACTGCTAAATTCAGCAGCTTTTGCATCACTTTAACTTCACAATACATTTTTGGACAGTGTAGACCTATTACTTAAAAGCAGTCATGCAATAAAGGATTTACTTCAAGGCCATTATGAACAGAAGTTAAAAATAATCCACACATACAGTAATTGGGCTTTGTATGAACGTAAACTTTAGGAAAAAAAACTAAATCTAAACCCAAAGATGGCCAAGACATCATTTATCATTGTAGCAGAATGTCAGAGGGTGCAGGAAAGTGTATAAAGTTTTGAAGTGCATCTTTTTAAGCTGATTGCAACATGAAACATAGAAGACAATGAGGCATCTGCCTCTGACAAGATGTTCGAGACGGTAAAGATGAAGCGCACCGAGCTTTGTGACTATCTTTGTTTTATTTGGCTTTGCTGCTGTGCTGAGGCTTATTTTACAGCCTGCATTCTAATGAGATTGAAAACGAGCAGGGAGGGAGTGTAGGGAGGTGGAGAGATTGTGTAACTCTGTTATATAACACAATATGCATGGCCTTCTCTTTCTGTCTCTAAGCACCTCAAACAGGGAAACACAGAGTGCAGAGCGAGCGGCGGGGAGAGAGTGGAGGGTTTAAAAGGGTGCTGGTGTTAATGAGGGCGATGTGAAGAGACGTGTGCCTCTCGAAAAATTTAAAAAAAAAATCATACCTCATAATGGCACTGCTTCCAATAATGCAGGTGATGAAAATAAGTTGTTTAGAAAGTGGGTAGATGTGAAGGGTGAACCCCTGACTGGTATTAGACAAGCTGAACCACCACATGGCAATCAGGTGGGTAATTATTGGAGAAGAAATTCTATTTCTCCCTTCACCTTTGTCCCACTTTTGAATTGGTTTGCTTTAGACTTTTAAATATTTGATGGACATTTAGGTGTCCAGCTACTTATCGGAACTCAGACTTGGAATTAGCTGATAATGCTAAAGCATCTCTATTTTTTGCTAACTAAAAACTGTTATAAAAATAGACATTTTTAGAGAAAAAGAAACAACCAACCAAGCTGGCAAACTTCACCTCTCCATACAGCACAGAAACACGAATATTCTTAAGAAAACTAAAAACGAACTTAACCTGATAAACAGTAAAAAAAAATTATTTATTTATATTTTATACAAAGTTTCCACCACTGTGAAAAAAATATAGGATACTTCCTTTAAATTAAGGTAAGTTTTGCACACTGAAAGCACAGCTGAAGTCCAGATTGGTTAACTTTTCCCCAGCTGATCCTCACGAATAGTTGACTTTCACGCAGAAGGTCTCCTCTGTTTTCTCCTCCAGGTTATTGACGTAGACCAAGATCTCTGCTGAGCCCGGACTCTGGCTGGGAGCGAATCTTAATCCAATGGTGTAAGTCTCTCCACCGCCAATCTGAACACAGCAAACACAACCAACAAACTCTGTATGCTTCAACGAATGAAGCTGTGAATTAATGAAGATCATCTAGATGAAAAAAAGAAAAAAATTGTATAGGTCTTCTGGACGGGTTCTTCTCTAATGAAACGTTTCGTCTCTCCTCCAAGAGACTTCTTCAGTCTGAGAGTTTCAGGCAAAATTCAGGCTTTTAAGCACTGCCTCCATGTGACTGATACTCACATCACATGGCTATCACATGGCTGAGATGCATCAGGACATCATCTAGATGCAATGTATTTTTTGTTGAGATAAGTTTTAAAGGTAACATTTCATGCTTAATCCACTTTTTTAGTCATTAAATGCAGTTTGTTTTGTACTTGGAGTCTCTAGGAGTGCAGAAAAGTTATATTTAGTTTCTCTCAGTGCTGCATAGATACATTCTGTTTTTGTCATATTTTTCAAACTGTTCAGTTTTTTTATTTTCTATGATGTTTTCTGAACTATTATGTTTTCGGTTGTTGGCATCTTTAATTCATTTGTAAATCAAATGTTTCTGTGCCGCTATATAGTCGTATCTATGCTCAAGCTACTATAAACCAGACTGATCTGGAAGTTGGAGAGGGGATGGGTGTGAAATGCCTCGTTTGGATTTAAAGAGACAGCCTCAAAATGAGTTGATCTGAGGCACCTCAGAAAAGGTGAAAAAGGGTTTTGTGGCAGTACAATAAGGAGGAACTCACAACTGAATGATTTAAATGTGAAAAAAATAGTTCTTATCACTCCATCATTTCTCACATAAGATGTATTTGTTTAATTGACTTTTTATGAACAAATTCAAATCAATTCAATTCAAATTCAAAAATACATTACTGATCCCAGAGGGAAATCAGGTTAACAAGAAATATAAAGAGTTTCAGATCCACAAAGGTTTAAAACAGATGTTTCCTGTTTCAGTAGCATTGTTTGAAATTAAACATAATATTAAACATTATGCCAGGTAGTGTTAGTTTCCTTATTACCCAAGCAATATGTCTATTTTCCAGGTTTCCTTTATTACTTTTTCCTAATGCTGTTGTCTTGGTAACATGTTTATTAGCTTCTGAAAGAGAACTGCAGGGAGGAGTGTGTTTGTTTGGCCATTCAGCTCACAAACCATTAGTCTTTCTCCGGAATGAGGCATTCAACCTTTAAATGTTAGAGTTTGTTTCACAGTGCTTTGTTTACATTATTACAGAGGCCTGTCAGCAGTACGTGTAGTCAATAATTCTTCCAGCCTTGATCTGAAGCCATGAACTCATGGGTTTGATTTTAATAAATGATGTCAAGCAAAGAAGTCCCAGAAGCCCAGTAAGCGTTGACCAAATTGATCAGCATTAAAAGAGTAAGGTTGCCAGACCTAAAAAAAATAAAAAAGTAAAAAGTTATGAAGACAAAAAGCTTGTGGTGTAAGCTACTGTAAGTCACAGCAAAATGAAGTTCTGAACCTTTAAGATGGATTAAATAAATTTAGTAAAAGGAGTAAATGACAATAACTAGACTGGGTCCTGCTGACAAAACATTACAGATAAAATTTAGTCTTTTTAGAGATTAAAATAAAGCTCTGATTGAGTCCTGCTTCCATGGAAAACTCATAAAACAAAGTTTTATTTTATCTTCAATGCAATGATAACAATGACTTTTTTAACTATAGGTTTTTGCCCTACAATAATGCCCAATATGAGGGCTATTTAACTAAAATGCTCAGGGGTTTGCCTATTAATGGCACCTGAAACTCTGCAGCATGAAACAGAACACAATATCTTCCTTAACATTTAAAGGGGCAATATTATGTGTTTCTCAGGCATATATTTAAATACTATACCATAATAAAGTATCTATGTCACCTTTAGCTGTTATTAAAATGCTGTTTTTATGTTTAAATAGAAAATAAACTTATCTTCTCATCACTTCCTCTTCTAAACACCTTGAAACTGGCCAATGTCTCTTTAAAAACCACCTTCTGCTTCTGTCTCGCCCATTTCGGTGTGTGTGTGTGTGTGTGTGGGGGGG